AGATGATTTTGTCAGGGAATCCAAGGGCTAATTTATATTGAGTGAGAGGTACGGATAGGTTGCAGGTGTGGTAATGATGCCCTTTTTTTCTTACACACGGTATACAAGAGGAAAATGGGAAGAGATTCTCATTTATAGTAAAAGCCACTAGATCTGTGTGGTAGTGATTCTTTGCTCCTTGAACTGCTGCTTTCTGAATACCTAATGATTTTTTTCTTAAATATGGATGTGCCAGATTTGGACTATGATATTCTTAAGGCTTTTTTTTTAATTTAACTGAAGTGATTGATGAATTCTATCTTTTCTTTGCTCTCTAGCACTTCATGGATCTAGACAGTTTTCATGTATGAATTGTTGAAATAGAACATACAACTTTTTTTTTAACTTGATCGTGCTTTTCAGGGAGTCCAGTAATTCTTAAATTATCTTTCCTTGACCTTTTTCCAGGTTGGTTGTTTTTAATATCAACTATCTTACATTTTGTAGATCTTTTTTTTTTCATTTTTTCATTCTGTTCTAATATTGCAGTCTCATGTAGTCATTAAGTTTGGTATATTTTAATTTTCAGGGAGTCTGATACTTGGGTAAAGTTTAGCACTTCTAAGCTTCTAGTAATTCTGTCTTCTGGAGCTTTAATTTCTTTTTCTCATGCTTTTCTTTTAGGTCTTCACATAGGCCTTGTGGAAAGTCCATTTTTTCCCTTTGGGTCTCTGCTTGCAGTTGTTACAGAGTTACTCTCCTTTTGTGGCATCATCTAGATCTATATAGAATTTTTGGTCATTGTTTTATTTACTCATGGCTCTTTCTGTGGTTCCTGAATTGGGGCTTTGTGCCAGGGCCAGGCTCTCCCTGTTGTACTTTTGAGTGTGTTTGTGTGTGTGGTTGGGGGGGATGGGGGGAGGGTTGGCTTTGCTTGGTATCACCTTGTTAGGCTCCCCTGGTTCTTTGAGTTTCAGAACTCTGCATCTAAAGAGCTGCCTCAGACCATAATGTTAGAGACCTCAGAGTTGTCTTCCACTGAGTAGTCCTGGTTTGAGAACTGAAATACTATATATGTGTGTTGCTGCCTGCTGCTACTACTTGGCACTTGCAAGTACTCCGCTCCAGAGCTATCTTACCACCCTGAGGCTTTCTTAGGAAATCCTTCAGTTTTTGCTGCCTCCAAATACAGAGCTACACATCTGACTAGTCTTTGGTCTCAGTGCTGGCTTTGCAGGTTTCCCTGTTTCCTATTGCCCCCCAGCTTCTGGAAGATTTGTGTCTGTGTGTGTATGTGTAGTTCAGAGGTGTAAGGAGTCACTTAATACAGATTTTTAGTAGATTTCTTGATTATTATTTGATGTGATACACATTTCACCGTCCTAGTGGAGTGCACACGTGGAGGCTAAATGGCTGATTTCCTGTTCGAGCAGCCACTTTCTGGAAGTCTCCTATTATACATTTCAGACTGCATGTGCTAGAAACATCTCCAGCTCAACTTGTTCAAAACTGAGCTCATTACCATTTCCTCCAAAACCTTCTCTTCATCCAGACTTCTCTTGGTTGAAGGCACAACTGTTTTTCATCTCAGAGGTTTATAGCTTCATCATTATCATTCACCCTTTACTTCCCTTCAACCCAATTTAATCACTTAACCATTTCTTGCCATTTTAAGTTCCCATCTCTCCAGTCACACGGCCACTACCCTCATTCTTCCTCGGACTTTTTACTCTTCTATTCACTTTAGTGGGGGCAGATGTGTTGGTAGAACACCTACTTCACCTAGTCTTCTAGCACAGCTTAAAAGCAAAAACATACTGAGCCCTTTCTTTACCCTTTGCTGTCCCCTTCTCTCAGACCATTGTAAAAGAGGGCTGAGAAATGGGGGCGACTAGTTTGCAGAGGGTAGGGAGAAATATGTGGAAAGTATTTGTTCTATGCTATCAGTTTTAGCAACAATGAGTAAATATGTCTTCTTCATTTCCTCGTGTTCAGGCTAGAAAGATAACATAGAGATGAGTATATCCTGTGCTTTTAGGTCCTACCAGCCTTAACAATTTGAGATCCAGTGTTATGGTCCATTAGTAGTAATTTCATGTTTCCTTCTCACCTTCCACATCAGAAGTATAATTTCATTGCAGTAGGACAGAGAAGTCCTTGAGCTACCAGTATTTTGAGACTATTTATGACCTAAGGATAGAAAAGCAACCACTTGTGGGAGGTTAGAGTAAGCTATAGTATAAATTAGGTGGGCCAAAAGAGACTAAACATTACCTTCAAGGTACTGGTGGGTTATCATTTTCAGCAAGCATTATTGCTTTCTGTTTGTCAGGCATTGTGTTAAGCTCTAGGAATGTTTGTTGCTGTTATTTGTCCTTCATGCTCAAAGAGGACCATGACATTAGGAAGGTGATGCCATGAGTTGCAAGTGAATCGGATTTAAGTGAGGGAGGGCTGTGCAAAATCACCAGCTTCTGTTTCTCCTCCAGAGCCATCTGGGTCCAGTGGCAAGATATAGAGCAGGATGACTGGAGATTCCCTCCTTCTTCCCCCCCCCCATACATAAAGGAAAGCAAAAATAATCCCCACCCTCAAGGAGCTCACATTTTAATGGGAGAGATAATGTGCAAACAATTATGTTCATACCAGATATATACCCAGTATAAGCAGGAGTTAATCTCAAAGCAAAGGCATTAGCAATAAACTTCAGTCTTTTTGGAGAAGGTGAGATTTGAGCTGAGTCTTGAAGTAAGCTAAGAAGCAAAGGTGATGAAGGAGAAAATATTCCAAACATGGAGGACAACCACTGAAAAGGCATGGAGTCAGGAGCTGGAGAGAAGGGTTTGAAGAACAGCAGAAAGGCCAGTGTCCCTGGAGCGTAGAGTGTGTGGAGAGGAGTAAAGTGTAAGAAAGCTGGAAAAGTATCAAATTAACCCAGAGTATTGCTTAATCAAGTTATTTTAATTTCCTGAGCAAGTGTAAGAGCCAGTATGCTAACTGGGTGTCATACCTAAACTCTTCATCTGAGCTGAGGATAGCTGAACAAATTTATATAAACTTTTGAAAATCTCCCCTTCCCTAATTCCCCCACTGCCAATTAAATGAGTGATAAAAATGTAGGAGATTGAAGGTGAAAGAATTGGGTTAGGTGGCCAGGTGGAAAGTTTTTTAATATTCTGAGAAAAGGAAAATATTAACAGATAATTGATTACTACAGTTGATGGAGGTAGTGGTTTTTCATTGTTCTGCCTAGAGGCAGCAGTTTCCCCTGGGAAAGAAAATCTCTTTGCATCTTTATATCTAAGTTACCCACAGTCCTCTGCTATACTGTCAGTCTCTCTAGAAGTACAACAAAATAAGATTAGCCAAGAGCCCATATCTCTCAATTACCTTAAGTAGGTTCAAGTTCTTTGGGTAAACATGCTTTGAATAAATTGGAACCAAGGGATGGATATAATCTGATTAGATTTTTAAAGGCTTTGTTCTCCACCAAGGGGTAAGCTTGGGATTGGATGGACTATTTTGTCAGCCTACAGAAACTAATTTAAAAACACACAAAAAAGTAAAGACAAATTGTTACTTTTGAGTAACCAAATATAAATAGTGGAGAGATCTACTATGTAGGATTAGTGTTCAGACCAAATTATTATTGTGGTTATGAGTTACTATTAATAAACTTTTTATAATTTAGTCACAAGGAGTTTATGGTAAAATCTCTCAAGTTTGTAGGGAATAAATAGTAAGCTCTTCTTGATAGTGAAATGCAAATCCAGTGGGCATAAATTATAGGAAAACCTTGAGAAGCTGTCTGTGCAGAGGGGAAGAAAAGCCATACATTTGGATTGTGCATAAGTTCTAGTTAATGAATTTAAGAGAAAATCATCTACGTATCCTATCCTTAGAACTTAGAGTCCATCCTTTGCTAAATACTGATCTAGGAAATCAGAATCCATTTCAAATATGTTGGTCTTGTGTCCTGAATTGACAAGGTCAACAAAATGTTTGGCTTAATTTGAGTAGTGGAAACAAAATAAAGTATCCTCCTTCATCAAGATGTTAAAAACTGGTTGTGTACTTCTACTAGTTACTCCTTAAAAATGCAACAAATGATTAAAAATCCAGTGATAGGAATGTAAAATGTTCAAGGGTTTCATAGAATCCTAGATGTATGGATAGAAGGAACTTTGGAGTCATCTACTCTAGTTATCTTGCTGTATTGATGAAGTCCGGGAGGCCCAGGGAGATTAATGATTTGCTCCCAGTCATTCAGATAATAAGTAAAAGGAGTGGGTTTTGAAAGGAAGTCCTTTATCTTCCAAGTCAGTGGTTTTTTTTACACTGTACCACACTGCCTCCACCAAGGGAATTGAGGCTTTTCTGTATGGGACAGATTCTTCAGTCTGGAAAGTCAAAGGCTGGGAGAACAGGTATGTTTGAAAATATTTAAATGATGAATAGTACAATTTCACCAGATTCTAGGGTATTGAAACTAAAACTTGGTCCGGGAGGCAGGGGACGGATCAGGCAAATTTAGAATAAATGTCATGGAAATTTATACTAAAGCACTGTTCTGATGGCTTATTGCATCCTGAAAGTGACCTGGATTCTCAGACAGTATGACACCAGAGTGCAGAATTCCGGCAAGTCCAACTGAGGTGGAAAGACTTTGACTATGGATTAAATGACAAATAATATGCTTGTTGTTTTAACTAAATAAGAAGGGCTTGTCACCAGATTTCTGGGTGGTGGATTTTTTGGTCACAGTAATTCTCAAGGAACATCTACCAAATTGTAGAGGAGCTCCCATCTGCCTCAGTGAAAGGAGTAGGGAAGAGATATTCGCACAGAAAAAATCAGAGATCTTTGAAAGTATTGAAGTAAGGGAGATGGTGCACCTTCTGCCAATGTCTGCTGTTGCCAAAGAATACTGTTACTGCACTGAACTCTGCATGGTCTGACCTACTGTGTGTGGACACATAAGACAAGGGGTCTTCCTTAATAGACATTTGTATTTATTTTAGAATGGCCAGAGCTTCCTGGTGTTGGATGAACAGAGGTTTGCAAAGGAAATTCTTCCCAAGTACTTCAAGCACAACAACATGGCGAGCTTTGTGAGGCAGCTAAATATGTGTAAGTGTAGAGAGCTTTTGATTTGGGGTGGGGAATGTAGATTGACTAAGTTCTTGTTTTTTCTCTGGGGTGGTAAAGGAAAAGAAAACCCTTTGAATGCAGTAATTGAATTTTGATTTTGCTTCCTTTTCTCAGTCTTCTTGGTTGTGTAATTCTATTTTAGATGGCTTCCGTAAAGTAGTTCATGTTGACTCTGGTATTGTAAAGCAAGAACGAGATGGCCCAGTTGAATTTCAGCACCCATACTTCAAACAGGGCCAGGATGACTTGCTGGAGAACATTAAAAGAAAGGTAAGTTACTGTTAGTTTTTTGTTTGTTTTATTTTCTTAATCTAATTCATTTTAGTGATTAGTCTATGCTTAATTCATATAATGGTTTTCAAATATAAATAGAGTATAATTCACTTTATCAGTTCCTAGCATTTAGGATAGTAAAAGGAAAGTTAAAAGTTGTTAAATTACTGGTATCATACCAGTATTGTTTCCACCTCTCTTTTTAAAAATTGAAAATGTAAGGGCAGCTAGGTGGCACAGTGGGTAGAGCTCTGGCCTTGGAGTCAGGAGGACCTGAGTTCAAATCCAGCCTCAGACACTTGACACGTACTAGCTGTGTGACTCTGGGCAAATCACTTAACCCCGATTGCCTCACCCAAAATAAAATTGAAAATGTATAGTATTTAAACTATGTTGTAGTCTAAATAGGCTTTGTGGGCCAGACTGGGAAACCTAACCACCAATTCGTTGTAATATTGTTTTTATAGGAAAACATTCCACATAACTGATAAGCAAACCAACTTTTTTTGGAATGCTATCCTTTTAGAAGTTGATACTGCAAAATTTCTTAATTTATATAGTAATAGATCATATTATGACTTGGTGCTAGGTTTTGTTTTCCTTGCAGTTTAAGTCTAATACTTTGCTGGGATGATAAAGCTTATATTAAGTGTCTGATTACACATACTACTATGCTAGGCATTGTACAGAGTGATCTGTTCCCTTTTAGGAGCCTAAAAGTATTTTAATACAGCCACTACCATCATCTTTCTATAATAAAAGGCAAATGTCATCGTTGTAATATCTGCCCTTTCTGAGCAATTGAAGATCATGTGGAGACTTGGGGAAAAAAAACAACACTCTACCTTACAGTCCTGAAGCAGAAGAGATTTTTATTTGTTGCAGTAGTGCTGGACAGAAATAAATGTTTGTACAGACTTTGATATCAGTATCTCATTTAGCTTACTAAAACTTTTACATATTTTAAAATGACAGGTATTTTTGCTAAGCAATTAAAAAAAAAAACAGGTTAGTGTGTCGTGCCCTGGAGACTAATTGCATAGCATGCAGTTGAGTAATTATTATAGCATAGGTTTACTAAATAAATGGAGAGAGGTCAGGAGAATATTTGGGAATAAAGTCGTAAGAGATGGTGAAAAAGGAATCGTTGAGATGTTTCTTCCAGAAGCAATATCCTTAGACCCGGGGTTCTTAAATGAGGGCCTGTGATTACTTTTTAAAATATTTTGATAACTATTTTAATACCAATCAATAATTGGTTTCTTTTGGGGGCAGCGAGATGGCACAGTAGATAGAGCACTGTCCCTGGATTCAGGAGGACCTGAGTTCAAATCCAGCCTAAACACATAACACTTATTAGGGGTGTGACCCTGGGCAAGTCACTTTACCCCATTGCCTTGGCCCCCCCAAAAATTGGTTTCTTTTCTAATTTATTTTATGCACTTAAAATAATATTCGAAGTAGGGAAGTCCAGGGCATCACCAAATTGTTGAAGGGATTCATGACATAAAAATGGTTAAGAACCCCTGCCTTGAATCATAAGATAATATTTGGGACTTTTTTGCATTTGACAAATGGAGATTAGTTTTTTTCTTGTAGCTCTGTCATTTTCTTCCCTTTGGGGAGCCAAATGTCTGGCACATTTTTTGACAATCTATTCAACCTTGCATATCCTACTTATTACCTTAAGCTGTGTGGGTATATATTTTTTTAAACTAGAAATGGTAAGACTTGGAATTCAGGTGTTTAGAATTTACATCTGTCTTCCTCACTGTTTTGTTTGAGCAGGTTTCTTCTTCAAAACCAGAAGAAACCAAAATTCGCCAGGAAGACTTATCTAAAATCATAAGTAGTGCTCAAAAAGTTCAAATCAAACAAGAAACCATTGAGTCCAGGCTTTCTACTTTGAAAAGGTAAAATAAAGTTTCTAAAGATACTTATCATGTGGGTATGTAGGTTTAACAAGACTATAGCCTTATCTTTGAATTTTCATGGTGGTGTTCATAAGGGAGATGGAATGAACAGATAAGTAAATTGGTACAAATCTTTTCCTGTTCTTGGGAAAAACAAATAAAAGTGAGTATCCTACTGTCATAGAATTAGTATACGAGGATTAACATATTAAGAAGATTTTTGTGAGTAGTTTTCACATAAATAGGCAGAAGGGATAATTACAATCTGTTTTTCAAATGTGTGGACATCCTGTTTAAGTTACCATTTGCTTCCTATGTTGTAAAGGATTGAAGGTTTCCCAAAAACTTACTAATGTGGCCTTGCCCCTCAGAATGAAATAGAACTCACTCTCAAGAGAACTGCCCTACTTTATATTTATTTTTATGTTAGCTTAGAAAAAATATGTTACTCAAACTCTTTAAGTGCCATTCTAAAAAAATCATCATAATACCTGGTGCCTACATTGTTCCCAACATCCTACAGATAATTGTGTGTGGAGATAAAATACCCCTATAAAAATGCAAACTTTGCCACTTACTAATAAATTACTATGGAGCTTCTTCATCTAAGTAGGCAGGAAACTAAAGGCCCTTGCACTGTTTAAGTAGTAATTCCTGGGGATGAAGCAGCTCAAGTTGCAAATAAAACAGGTTAAAAGCTTTCATGCTGATCAGTGGAGGTTCAAGCCCTCTAGTGGCTGCTGTCCTTCCAACCTGGGCAAGATAGATAAGGTCTCCCAAAAAAAAAAAGGGCAGTTATTCCTGGCCTTGCTTTGACTGTTCCTGTTCTGTATTTTAGAGGGCAATTAAATTGATCTTCTTTCTTTTAAAATGCTTTATTGATACTATTTTTTAAATATCACTGTTATTCTCAGTGACCCTTCTCTTGTAAGAAATACAGTCAAACAAAACAAATCAATACACTGGGCATGTCTGAAATATGTACCTCATTCTGTCCTTATAGTCCACCACCCATCTAATTATGTTTTCTCATTAAACATATATTTCTCCTAGTTCCTTTTATTTCCCATATTCAGTAACATTTACTGTGTTGAATATAGTAACTCAGAGGTACCTCTTGACCTCAGCTTTGGATTTCATGGTTCATTAATGTCAGTTATGTTAATTAAATGTTAATTAAAACATTAATGTCATTAATGTTAATAAATTCATGTTCATTAATGTTTTCAACACATTTGTCTTGAAAATATTTCTTACCTGCTTTATTGGCTAATACAACATGAATAGACTGGTTATGGGACCTAGAGATCTTTTGGCCAATGGAAATTGAAGATGCTACAAAAATTCTACTTTCATTTTCCCCCAGATCCCATATATACTTAGTCTGTATTAAGAAGTTTGGCCTTCATCAAGTTATGAGAAAGTTGAAATTGAAGCATTTAATAGATGAGTTATCTTTGATACTCTATCAGCTTTGTCACTATTGTCACTGAGAAGAAGGATGCAGTATAATGTCAGTAAGAAATTGATACAGAAAGAAAATGTTTATTGTTAGGTAAGTTCTAGGATGGTTGTGTCCCTGGATGTGCCTCTTTAAAATATTTTGGTCTTTAAGTGTTCAGGAAACTAAAGGCCCCGGCATTTTGTAAGTAGTGATTCCTGGGGGTGAACCAGCCCACATTAGAAATGGAGCAGGTCAAAGCTTCTGCAGTAGGTTTGCAGCATAGGTTCAGGCCCATTAAAGGCCATTGCTTGTCCAATCTGGGAGAAATAGAGAGATGAGGTCTCTGTGACTCTGATCTATGCATGTTTATTTTCTTAGGAACTATTTTTTTTATTTGCTCGGTTATCCAATGACCAACGCAAGATTTTAGTCATACTGTAGTATACGAAGTTGTTCGGGGGAAAATGGATCATTACACAGGACCCTAGGGATTCAGCTCTGAACTTCAAGTGTATATTTGTATACCTGTTGCCATTGGTAGCAAATTCTATCAATGTGAGGCTATCAAGTGTAACATTGGGTTTGTTCCAAGGGCAGCTGCCATTATTATACTGCTGTCCAGGCTAAGGGCTGCCCAGTCTCTTGAAAAGCTTATTAAAGTGTGAATAAGTTCTGTAATATAGTCATAATTTTAACTAATGACATTTTGTTTTTTGATTATCCTTTTATTTTAAATGACAGAGAAAATGAATCCCTTTGGCGGGAAGTGGCAGAATTACGGGCAAAACAAACACAGCAGCAGCAAGTAATTCGAAAGGTAATTTGTTTTTTTCTGTGGCTGTAAACTACCATTGTTTAGTGCATGTTTATAATTAGCTACACTTAGTTCTATATTGATTTCAATCTTGTAACAGTTGGTATATTGTGAGGATTGGTGCACGTAAACTAGGAAATGAAGGCTAGGATTAAATGCCTCTTCGCTAAATAGAGAACACTTCATCATAACTGTAATGGCCATTCTAATTGCATAGATTGTTATAGTAGTTTTCAAGGGATTTCTTGTCTATTTTACTAAAATTTAGGTGCAGTTATCATCTTAGAGAACTGACAGATTTTAAAATCAGTTGCCCATGATTTATTGATAGGTATAGGTCATTTTACAAATGCTTGATCAAGATAAGCTTTTAACTTGTGCAGTAGCAATAGATATGGTGGCTAAGTCCTTCATTTTACCTGAGAATGGTGGTGACACTCAGGAGTATACATGGTACCACTATTTAATGTCTCAGTATTAAAGCCCAAGTAAAAGAATATGAGTAGGTTAATCTTATTTTGTTCAAGAACAGACAGGATTGGACTTTTTTTTTTTTTGGTGAGGCAGTTGGGGTTAAGTGACTTGTGCAGAGTCACACAGCTAGTGTCATGTGTCTGAGGCTGGATTTTAGCTCAGGTCCTCCTGACTTCAGGGCCAGTGCTATATCCACTGCGCCACCTAGCTGCCCCAAGATTGGACCTTTAAACAGTAGATCCTTTTATATGCTGGGACCATCCTGTCTCACTCATGAGCCCTTCAAGCTAAAAATAAGTTTGTGGCTGTGCTTTACTAAAGAGTTGCAACTTTGAACACAGAGTCAAAATAAATTTTCAAAGTTTTATCATTATGCAAATTTAGGTACACGTCTGAGAGTGATGGTTATTCTTTTGCATTCTCTTGGTGTTACTTGATTTTTCATGGTGAAGCCATCAATCTTAAAGAGATCACTCTTTGCTGTCATGGGCTTCACAACAATTCCTCTTAATACTTTAATGAAAATATTCTTTTCTGAAGAAATTTTGTAAATGTTGATTGATAATGTAAGAATTTTAAGATTTCAAACAAAGAGAAAGAAAACCAAGGACAAGAAGAGTTGGTTATGTTATAATATTTAATATAATTTTTATTCAAAAGAGGTTAGTATTCATGTTGGGTTCTGCAGTTTAAGATACTGCATTGATTGATTCTAAGAAGAGAAAAAAGTTGCCTGAAGCAGACCATAGCTGGTGTATTGCTTACCAGAAAGGACCTGTATAACAAGAATAGAGTTAATGTGTTTTCCAATTTTAATATGATAGGTATTTTATAGAATGTTTTTAGTCATTAGTCTGCTTAGCAATTTCAGTAGTTATGAATATTTGCTTATACAACTATGCGGAATATTTCATTGACATTGTAATCTCAAGAATCTCTGTGTTTTTTTTCCTTCCACTCACCTTTACTCCCTTTTTTAGATTGTCCAGTTTATTGTTACATTGGTTCAGAATAACCAGCTTGTGAGTTTAAAACGCAAAAGGTAAGTTAACTTGTTTATAATAAAATCCTGCAAGGAAACAGATAACTAATTCCAAGTATGGGAATTTACCCATAAACTGCTGCATGGGGAGCTGAAGTGTCTTATGTCCCAAGGGCATAACTACTACCTTTTACATCACTGGCTCTCAAACTTTGTGGTCTACACTCTTACAAATGATTAAGGACCCCCTCCCTCCAAAGAGCTTTCATGTGGATTACATCTATTAATATTTGTCATATTAGAAATTAAAACTTATTAGTATTATTATGAAAATAATCTTGACCTTGGGGGTCCCTGCCCCACACTTAGAGAACCACTGTTTTATCCTACCAGATGAATTAGTGTGGCTCCTATTGCTGTGGCTCCCTGCTGTTTGTCCTGGTGTTGGGACAAGTTGCAGCATTAATGCAAATTCCTCTCTTCACCTGATTCCCCAGATCTCTGCCTTCTCTACCCAAAATGGGGAAAGCAACAGATAGAAAATGTGTTTTCTACGAAATTTATATAGAGCAGAAAGCCAGAATTAGTGGAGTACTAGAAGCAGAGTACTAGAGTTGGAGATAACAGGACAGTCTCTATTACCTGTACTGTTTATGCCTAGCACTAATATTTACATTCTCTTTTACCTTGGTGCCAAGAATGGACTAGGTGATAGCCATGACTACCACTGGCTACCTTTGGCATTTTCAGGGTAAAGGTGTGGTAGAAGGACAAAGGAAGAAATTAAAAAGAAAGGGAAAAAAAGAAAGCTTTGGCATTATTCCTTTAAAAGCCAAAATTTTGCCTGAATTTGATTTAAAACTGCTTTGTAACCATTTGACTAAATCACTACTAATTTGGGAAATATTATATTTTTATAGTGCCATAAAACAGGATTTTGTTTTTATTAACAATAGATACCTGTAGTAACTAACCCAGCCCTTATTTTTTGTCTGCTTATGTAACTAAATATATGAATTTTTCTTCTGATTTTTCAGGCCTTTACTTTTAAATACTAATGGATCTCCAAAGACAAATCGATTTCAGCAAATTATCAAAGAACCAGCCAATAATCACCACCACAAAGTAACTTTTCTTTTTAAATCCTATAATAATATAGTACTTTTACAAACAGCATTATTTAATGTTTCTACATTTAGTTCTTTTAATTAATGCTTAATTAATAAACACTTGTATTATGTTTTTATGCCTTAGGTTAGATCTTCTAGTATAGTCACTTTTAAACTAGCTAGTCGGCATCATGAAACTGTGAGTTCTATGAGGACAGATACTCCATTTCTTTAAACTGAATTGTGGCTTAAAAACACCCTTTTGAATTACTGCTTAAAGTGTAACCTGCAGAATATTTAAAGTGATTCCTCTACATCAGTAATGACCACATGAAATGAGTTAAGATTAGATACTAGGAATTCGGTGTCTTTAACTATATTTCTACTTAGATACAGCCTCTACTTTGGCATATGTAGTAGCAATAACTACAGTGGAATTTTCTAGTACTGCCATCCACTGATATTTACTCATTCATTTACTTTACCTCTTTTGGCAGACTGTACTTGATTTTTTTTTTAAAGGGATTTTGCATTTAATCATAGAATGGTAACTATCATCCTAGCCCCCAGCCACCTCAACACACATAATAAAAAAAATGCCCATTGTAATTTGCTTTTCTTTTGAATTAAACTTTTGACTTCTTGTTGTTTTTTAAATCAGTTGTTTCTGGAAATCCCCTTGCACCAAATTGACCTTCTCATATAAAAACAATTAAGCAAAAATACCTTTTACAGTAATTTGTCTGTTAAAGTATTCACCATTTAGCCACCTCTCTACCAAGATGAGGAAGGGAGGTATGTTTCATTTGCTGTTTTGTGGGACCATTATTGTTTTAATTACTCAGAGTCTGGCTTTATTTTTAGTGATCTTTTTATTTAAATTGTTATTACCTTATAGTAGTTGTGCATATTGTCTTAGTTCTGCTTACTTCACTGTACATCAGCTTACATAGATCTTCCCATGTTTCTCTGAACTTTCTCACAGTTGTCATTTCTTACTGCACATAATGGAACTGCTGTTTCTAATTATTGGTGCAGTAGTTGATTTAGAAATTGGAACCTTGCTCTTAGACATATTTTCTTTTCCAATTTCATAGGTTCCACATAGTAGGACAGAGGGTTTAAAACCAAGGGAGCAGATTTCAGAGGACATCATTATTTATGATGTCACTGATGATAATGTAGATGAAGAAAATTCTCCAGTTACTCCTGAAACCAATGAGGATGCTACAAGTGACACTTCAAAGTAAGAAGATTTTGAAAATAAGTGTTAAGAGGACAACTTTATAGGACTTGTTATTCAAGGAATATCTATTAAAGCCCAAATCAACTGATACTAGATTTTCATTAGTTTATAATAGTAACTGCTCTATAGGACTATTCAGCTAAGTTTTGAAACCTATATTAATTTAAACAAAAAACAAAAAAAGTTTAAAGTGAAACTGACTTGGATTAGCTGATGGATTCTGCTGATAAACACCAGACTCTAGTTTTGGACTGTCGTCTGGACACTTCCCTGCTTGGTGACTATAAGTAAATCTCCTAACTTTTGAGCTAATGGCAACTGTTACCTACTACTAAGTTGTAGATAGTTTTAGACCTGCTTCAGTAGTAGATGTTACTAAATCATCAAAAAGTCACAGGTCTTGACGCTGGCATAAAAAGGAAAAACTGTTAGAATGATTTAATAATTTTATTTTAGACTGTAATTCTAGAATGTAGGCCGTTTTTCTAATAGCATCTAATATCACTTTGTTCTCTGTGGTTTTTAAATCTAAATTATATGTTCTATCAGTGTTAAACATCCAGAAATTTACAATTAGGGGTAGGAACTTTAGGGAAAAGAATGTAACTGCTTCTTTTTTTTTCTCTCCTATCCATGGCATAGTTGTAGCCAGTACCCTGATATTGTCATTGTAGAAGATGACAATGAGGATGATTATGCTGCTGTTATTCAGGGCGGGAACAAAAGAAGTGAATCAGCCAGCGTTCCAGCCAGTCACCATGTGAGTTCTGTCAGTGAGAGTGGCAGCTCGCTTATGTCTAGTGCTGTGCAGGTAAACAACTCGTCTGCTCTGACTTCAGAAGATCCTGTCTCCATGATGGATTCTATCCTGAATGAAAACATCAATCTTTTAGGAAAGTGAGTAATTTAATTTTGAATACTAATTTTGAGCTTGATGAATTAAATTATTACTCTGTTTCTGTACTTCACTCTTTTATCTGGTAGACTTCTGCCTATTTTGTTTCTACCCCTTCAGTTTCTTCTTCAATCTTTGGAAAATTGAGTTATTCACTGAAGATTTATGTCTAGTTTGCTAAATCCTTCTTTGAGCTTCTTCTAAACCTAAAATTATTCTTGTAAATGCTTAACGTTTTTTTTTTTTTTTTTATCATTTCTGCCCTTTTTGTATATGTGATGATGTTGTCTATCGAGCCTCAACACAAAACAGGTAGAAAGAATGCTTAGCCTTAGAAAGGTAAGAGGACCAGAGTTCAAATCATGGCTCTGACTCTTAATATTTGTGTGACCTCAGGCAAGATACCCTCTCTGACCTTCAGTTTCCTAATGTAAAATGAGCATATTGGGGCAGCTAGGTGGCACAGTGTATACAGCTCTGGCCTTGGACTCAGGAGGACCTGGGTTCAAATGCGACCTCAGACATTTGACACTTACTAGCTGTGTGACTCTGGGCAAGTCACTTAACCCCAACTACCATACCAAAAACGCAATCAATCAATCAATCAATCAATAAACAAATAAAATGAGCATATTGTACTAGATAATCTTTAAGGTTTTTTTTCCTTTTTTTCTTTTTTTCCTTTTCTTTCCTTCCATCCTTCCTTCCTTCTTTCTTTCTTTCCTAGGCAGTGGGTTAAATGACTTGCCCCAGGGTTACACAGCTAGTAAGTGTCAAGTGTCTGAGGTCGCATTTGAACTCAGGTCCTCCTGACTCCAGGGCGGGTGCTCTATTCACTGCGCCACTTAGCTGCCCCTTAAGGTTTCTTTAGTCTCTAAATTCGTGATCCTAAGTTTTGTGATTTATTTCTTGCTTTCTGACATATATGTGAGTTTTGTGTCTGAATTTTCTGCAATTTCTGAAAAAAAGTAAAGGTTGAGGATGAGTTTCTAATTTCTGGTTTATTAAACCTCCCTTACCTACCCCACCCATCTTTTAGTTAAAGTAAATATATGTCTTAACTGTTCATATTTTGTATCTTGTTCTTTTCGTAGTCTTTTGTGGTCTTGACTAGTCAGGATGGTTGGGGGGGGTTCCACTTAAAGAACGTTTTATATATTTGATCGTTTTCAGTTAACTCCTGTTTTTGGATTTCTGAATGGTGCATTGGTTCCGAAATAAACAAAATGAAACTTTTATGATAAAGCTGGCAATCTGCCCCATTTGGCTGTTGCCCAGGTTATGCACAGCTATTGTTTCCATGTTCCTTTGATTGTTTACAGACACTTTGGGGAGTGGGACACCTCCTTTTCTGAATTCAGGGAGTTGTACCTGTTCAGTCTCCTCCTCTCAACTTGGAAAGTCCCTAATCTATCATTCAGTTAGAAATCAGATTACCTGATGTTGTATTGTTTCCTTTTAATTAACTGGTCTTATTCGATTGTTTTGTTTTTAATGTGTAGAAGTCTGTCGCCCCCTTTATTTTGAGTCTGTCTGAATCTGAGCTGAGGAGGTGTGGTCCTGCTTTGTTAGGCAATTGGCATGCCTTGCTTAATAAAGCAGTATGTTCAGAAGGTCAAACCTTTGTTTCTTTAGTCATTTCATCTTTTACCCACCACATTCAGAAAATGGCAGATGTGTAAGAGTACAGAGGAAAGGGTTTTAAAAGCAGTACAATTAACTTTTAACTGGAAAGGAGTCCATTAAGTTTATTGAAGTTTCCTTTTTAACTCAAAGTGTTTATGTATTTGTTTTACACATGAGCTAACATTTTAGGAATTTTAGCAACATAAACTTTAGTATAATAGGTGAAGAGATGGTTGTGCTTAAAATTTTTCTGAAATCTTCCTCAATAGCTACCAGAATTTCATTTTCAGGTTTATGCATGAATCAGATATTATACAATTTAAATTTCTTTTGCTTTTGCATGATGACACTTCCTTTTTAAATTGGTAAATTCAGTAGTGTGACTTTTCCTTAGCTTCTGGTCCAGCAGCTATATAAAAAACTTCCTTTGTGTTCAGGGTTGACTGAGTGGTATGATCAGTCATTCTTACGACACAAATCTTTTTGTTTTGTCCCATGCCAGTAGCTACTTTTACTTCTTCAAAAAAATTTTATTGGCTAATACTTGGGTGCCCACAGGATATACGTAGCAATTCACAAGGTCCTTGACATGCGTTTATCAGAATAAACATGGTCATTTTGCAGAAAAGGTAAGAATGAAACATTTAATAGATATGAAGTTACAACATTTTATAAAAATGACTTGGAGGAGAAAAGATGAATTTGAGCATGTTGATACCAAAGTAATCCAAATTAGTACTCTAATATTTAAATAGTCTATATTTTAATTTTCTTTTCATTGGAATCTGCAGTTTGATATGCTGCTGGAAATACTTCTTTTACCCAGCCAGGTTGTTTGTGGGGCTTCAAAAATAATTTTAAACTTACATGCAGATACACATCTCAAAAGACATAGTATTTCATTCTTACTTTCTTTCTCCAGGGTTGAGCTGTTGGATTATCTTGACAGTATTGATTGCAGTCTAGAAGACTTCCAAGCCATGCTTTCTGGAAGACAGTTTAGCATAGACCCTGATCTACTGGTGGATGTAAGTGTTTTGTATACTCTTTCTCTTCGGATGCATTTGTTGATTTCTCACAGCTATGAATAGAAATTAAAATAGTTTGGGGGGAGGGTTTTTTGTTCGTTTTTGTATCCTACATGGCTTTTCCTTTTTAAAATTCTGTTGGTAGGCTTTGAAAGGATACCCATAGACTCTTTATCAGTGTGTTCAGAACATTTAGATCAGGGTGTTCACAGAGTAGCAGTTGAGTTTAATCCTTCAATAGCAGCATTTGAACTTTAATGAACAGTACTGTTAAATCTAGGGTCTTGAGTGACCTCACTGTGATATGAACAAGAATTATTAGGGGCCCTGACCAGCCCGGAAAGTTTATATTTTTACGTATATGTGTACATATTTAAAATATACTTCCATTTTAAATGGAGATGCTACTTATGAAAATGTGACTTTAAAGGTCTGTTGCGTTTCTAAATGTGATTCCTCAACACATCTTGAGGGCCACTGTCTTTCCCCTCCATTCCCACCTCTCCACAGATGACTGATTTCTAGCATTTTTTTGACTAGGAGCCTTTATTTTTAACTCTTGTCCTTGTGTAAACTTCTTTTTGTGTTCCTTCGTTCTTTTTTACCCATACATACTCAGTTTACCCAAGCTCTCAGACCTTCTGCCTTTGACCCTCACTACCACTGTGGGCAAACTCCTCTTTTATCCTAAATAATTTTTCTCATCTCTTTGTTCTTCTGCAAATGAAATCTGCCTCTACCTTCTTGATACTACCTTCCCAGCTTCCCTTTCTAATTGAATGTTATTCTTCATCCACCTTAGGATTCTATGGGAGAGCAATGTCAACTTGTTCTTTGTTCCAGTATTAGTTCCAGACAGTTGTTTTACCACCCTTTATCTCCTTCTTTGCTTTGTTTTGTTCTTCTCTACTGCTTTTCAGATTCTCTGACATTTGACTTCAACACCATCCCCAGAGCATCATTACAGTTGTCCAAGGGTTCTCCTTTTATTGTTCTGATTGGCTTCTGCACATGACTTTCTTCTTAACTTTACCTCAATCTCTGCTTGTCATCCTCAATAGCTTTAGCATCCTTACAGATGATGAAAAATCTTTGTCTCCATTTATATCAGTTTCCTATCCAAATGGTACATTCTAGAATGCTGCTAGAGAATAACAAAGCTTGAAAATATGGGGCACTCTAATTTCTGCAGTTAATTCCAGGATGCTTCATTGTCAGTAGTTCTGTTCCTTTCTTGTGGATGGACGCCCTAGTACATTCTTCACTGTGGTTTTCCAGTTTTTCCCCCATCAAACAAAGCATCCTCACTCTTAGCAGATGGTTTTGCTTTTATTAATGAAATATTAGTGCCTTCTCACATGAGCATTGTCATCTACCTAGCATCTGTCTTCATCCTCTCCTTTTCTCCTCCTTCTTGTTTCTCTACTACTGATTGGTTATATGACTGAACCACTCTTAGTGAGCCTCTGTTTCCTAACAAGTAAAATGAGAGGGTTAGACTTGATTCTCTTTCTAGCACTGATATTCTATGGCTTGATTCTTAAGGCTAAATCTTATTCTGTACCCAAGATCTCTAGCTTTCAAAATCGTGAAGAATCTTAACTCCTACATCTTTTCTTTCCCTCTTAATATTTCTACATTGTCACTTTTCTTTGTACATTCAGATATGCATGGATTTCCTTTATTTTGGAAAAAAAAGAAATTGGTTTTATAACATTATTTAGCTACTGTCCTTTTTTTTTCTTCTTTTGCATCATACAATTTCATAAGTCTTTGGTCTGTAGACTAACCTCCCTCCAGCCTCCTGTACCACAAGATCATTAGTTTTCTTATACCTATTGGCTTGTCTCATTTCTAACTTGACCTGTGAAGCAGTTGGCCTTGTTGCTCGCTTTCTTCTCTGGCTTTTGCGATACTATTCTTTCCTGGCTTTCCTCTTACTTTTCTAAGCACTTTATTGCCTTTTTTGCTGATTTTTCATTCTCCTAGACTCTAGCTGACAGTTTATATTCCCTAGGACCAGTCATTTTCCTCATTCTTTTCTCTACATTTTCTTCCTTAGAGAACTGCTTTTTTTTTTGTCGTGGCTTTATTTACGGTATTAATTCAAGTAAAAGTTGAATATTTTCCCAAATCTGGATTAGATATGACCTGAATAGAGCCTGTATATGCTAGAGGCATATATCTATGTGAAAGGGTAAAGATTTCATTTCAAAGGTGCGCCCTGTATTTCTGTTAATATGGTATTAACCTCCATGATGATGATTCCAGTTATACATGGAAGACAGTGTATATATGGGAAAGAGTGCTGACTCTGGAATCAAAGGAGCTGGATTCAGATCTCACTAGCTTTGCCTCCTGTCTGTTTGACTTTGGACAAATCATTTAACCTCCTTGGGCTTCAGTTTCCTCATCTGTAAAATGAGGAGGTTGAATTAGGTGGCCTCTTTATTTTTTTCTAGCTCCCTAGTTTTTTTGTCTATACCAGCAAAGGAATCTCTTGTTGTAATGTCCCTGACAAGTGATTATTTATAAACTAATTTATAAACTTTAGTGAAGTATAACTATTCCTTTTAAGGTAGCACATTCCATTTTTGGACAGTTTTAATTGGTTTTTGGCACATATGGGTCTTTTCTGTCATTGACTTCCTTAGAATGAATGCCTGGTAGTGGGCTGCTGAGTCAGAAGTTATGAACCATTCACTAACTTTTCTTACAAGACTTCAAATTGTTTTATAGAAAGTTTCAACCAATTTTGCAGTTACACCTGCAGTGCAGAAAGGGTGTTTGTCTTACCATAGCCTTTCCAACACTGATGATATCCATCTTTTATGATATTTGCAATGTAGGTGTGGCATGAACCCTCAGTTGTTTTAATTTGCATTTCTCTCATTAGAAAAATTTTGAGCATTATTTCATGTGGTTATTAATAATTTTCACTTCTCATTTTGAAAACTGTTCATATTCTTTGACAGCATATATTTAACTATTGGTCTTCATTTATGTCAGTTTTCTATATACTTTAGATTTCTGTTGTTGTTGTTGGTCCAGAGCTGTAATTTAATTTCTGTAGAAAACCTTCCTTGAGGAAATTTCCTTTTCCAATGCAAAATGACATCTTCTCTGGTTGGCTCACTGGTGGGGGCAATATACATATACACATTTATGTTTAATTTGCACTAAAAGCATTTTCTCCAATACTTTCTTGAGACTAGACAATCAACAAAAAGTAATAACTGGAGCCGTGATTTTGTAGTACTTGTTGATTTCTTAGGTGGATATGTTCACACTGAAAATTTAACAATCACCTCTCACAAGCTGGTATGAGTTGGCTCTAGCACAACACTGGTACAAACTGATTTGCAAAATATTATGTACCTGATGCAATGACAATGAGGAATGATGGGAAACTTATAAGGAGTATCTCCTAACAAAATGATGAAAAATATAGAGGGGAAAATAAGGCTGTAGAAAGCTTGGTGTGTGAAGAAACTAATCAAGATATTCTAAGAGCTTTTATTTGTGATTCTGGGAGAATGACAAATAGATATGAAAGGAATATATTTGCTAGTGTATCCTACAGAGCTCCAGCTTCATCATTGAGAATAATGGAACTATATAGATTATATGAAAAGTGGAAATGGCACATAAAAAGCTGAAGATACAGGAAGATCAAGTGGACTTGATCAGATCTCCACAGAACAAATTCATGATGAAGGCAATATGACAATTTTAAAAGCACTTAGGCATCGTTTTCTTCAAGATTTTGTGAGGGGAATATTCCAAAAAGATCACAGATGATGTAACAAGGAAATTGACCAAGCAGCCATAACTACTGAGTCAAGTATTGACTTTCTTATCACTCTAAATCTTTTATTACCCATATTACACCTGTGTGTAGTTATCTAAAATCATCAGTTATATCATTGCCTATCTTCTTTGATAGTCTCATGAGAACTACCATTCTCTTCCCCAACATTCTCTTCTCTATGATGTTTGGCTTGCCAGATATATGCCAGGAATGTTCTCCCTCTACCTGCCTCTCTGTTTTTCATTTTAAAGCTTTCTTGTTTAGATTTGCACATCTTCAGACTGGTCTTCATTTGGTGTGCTGCTTTCCTGATCACAGAGCTATTGACAGTGATGACTCCCTTAAAAATTCTACCTGCCTTTACCTCTCACTTCAGCTCTTTTCTGTAACATATTGCTTTTTGGATCATTTGTCATCACTTCAAAATAATATGTCCATAACTAAACTAAACTCTATCCCCTCTAAATTTGCTTTTTCTACTCTCCTAGTTCCTATGGCACCATCATCTTTTTTTTTTATTAAATTTTATTTTTCTAAAACTTAAAATAAACAATAAGAAAAGAAAAAGAAGCATTATAAGTTTAAATATTAAAACAAATACAAAATAAGAAAAGAAAAAAAAAACTTGTACCCAGCAGAACATAAGAGAGGATTCAAAATATATAGCAATAAATTTCCTTTTCAAGAAGGAATGTGTAATAAATATCACATGTTGTGTTGAGAGCTATCCATCTTTTCTTTGCTTCCTTGTAAGTTTTCTTTTGTTCTCTGCTGTGTACTTTTTACTTTGTTCTTTTTTTCCCCCTTCCACCTCTCCAGGCTACAGTTTTATATATACACACACACACACACACACACACACACACACACACACACACAGACATGCATATATACATACACATGTATAGAAACATGTTCTTTTCCTAACAAATTCTACTCCTGAACTTTGTTTTATGTTTGTGCATATCTCTTTCCTATCCCTCCTGACTTCTCTACTTCACTTCTATCCTATACTTTGCCCTCCTATTACTTAACCTATTCTTCCCCCATCCCTCACAAGGATCCTTCCCTTATCTTCCCATTCCCATAAATCAAAAACCCCTTCTATACCTCCCTATGATCCATTCCCTCACTCTTCCATCTAAAGATCCCTCCCTTATCCTCTCATTCATCTAAATATCCTTCTATA